AAAGGCTGCCGATTTGGAATCGTAGTCAGAATCAAGCGTTAGCTTGATTACGTCACTTGAACTGTGCTGCGAAGGCAAGCGAAAAAGGCAACATCGCCCGAACGCTGAGTGAGACGCACTACAGTCATGCTGTCCTTCTCTCATTCTGAATGTTGACATTGTCCCCTTTCGCTAAGATTTGACTGCCGCCCGGCTGGATTTTCCACAGCGCCCCATAACAAACCTCGCCCCATTCAAACTATATCGTGTTTGGTATCATTTTAATCAGAAAAATTTCACCAATGCACTAGTAAAAGTTTCAGTAAAAAAAAGTCAAAAGTAAAAAAGTTTTATAATTGAATTAGTATTAGTCACACCGATACGTTTCGGCTCTTTCCTTTGATCATTAGACCGCTCTCTCTCTCCTCCACTGTCAGTCCCTTTCTACGTTCACGCTTGGCTGGTCGTCGCATCTAATTCGAGATTTGACATCTCGGCTGAATATATGCGAGGTCCCTCCATTTATTAGTTCTAATAGTACCATACTTAGTACTTTTTTATGCAGAATGTTTCAAGGAGTTGACACAAGTAAAAATTGATGCAATTCCATTTAAATAAAAAGTGGATTTGCATTTTTGAGTGCATCGTTGCATTCACGGAGAAGATGAAATCACAGAAAAATAGACATTATCATACCATTGAACTTTTACATAAACAGCTTTTTCCTATCTCTTATCAAATTCAAGATATAACCCGTCAGAAATTGCATGACGTATCCTGTATATTTTTATTAATTAAGAAACATTTATTTAAAGAAGTTAATAACTTTTTCTAAAAAGTTTCTCAGATTGCACGTTCCTTCGGTTCTTCAGAGTAGGCATATATTTTTCAGCAGCGAGGGGTGCTACGGTGCGCTATATAAAATCCACGCGTTCAGTCAGTCAGAATTTATCGGAGCGAGACAATTCTATCATTTAGGTTGAAAGAAGGATAGCATGATCACCCTACATCTCACTCTAACCACGCGCCAATGTTTCGCTTTCGTTCTTCAGGCGGATCGTCGCGATGCCTCTGGCGAGATGAGCGTTTGAATGTGTTTGTAAAAATGCTTGAGGCGCTGTTGCCTTCCTAGATCGTGTTGCGCGCACGCTAGCTGAGAATTAAACCTTTCAAGTTCGTACCAGACCACGCAAGTGGCTCCACTAGGCCCAACGAAAAAACTGCTGTAATACCGACGTCCCGAATCGGAGAGGTCACGTGCCGTGTCTACCCCCTTAATAGCATTAATATTATTACGGACCTTCTGGGACCAGGTTCCTTAGAAATTTTGGTAATCTCGTATTTTGATTCTGAAATGAAATTTAAAAATTCTGAAATTCTGATATTTCCAAGTTTTGGAATTTTAGAATTCTGAAATACAGAAAATCTTAAATACTGAAAATTTGGAATTTTTAAATTTCAGAATGGTAAAGATTCTCATTTGTGGGAAGGGGCTATTTCAAATTTTAAAAGGGCTCACCCTGGCCTTTATACAGTAAAAACTGGATATATGCAACAAACATTGGGACCCAGACGTTGCATATATCTAGTCGAGGTGTCTAATCTCGGGTTACACGCGACGAGTAGCCAAGCGTGAACGTAGAAAAGGACAGACAGTGGTGGAAAGAGAGTGGTCCGATGATCAAAGGAAAGAGCCGAAACGTATCGGTGTGACTAATACTAATTCAACTATAAAACTTTTTTATTTTTGACTTTTTTTTACTGAAACTTTTATTAACGCATTGGTGAAATTTTTCGGATTAAAATGATACCAAACACAATATAGTTTGAATTATAATTACTTGCTAAAATTGATGTTAAAAGTTGGCGAAAAGCAAAGGAGGATTGAAAATGAAAACCGGTTGCGGTGTCGGCTCGGATTTCAAACGTTGCATATATCTAGCCGAGGTGTCGATTCTGGGCATTTAAACGTTGCATATATCCAGCCGAGGTGTCGATTCTGCGTGCGTACAAATCGTTTGTACCGTGCCGCGATACCTATTCTACGTTCGTACACAACATGCGACGTGGTGCATGTTGCGTGTTTGATGTATCTTTGGTGTACGGCCTGCCTTATACATATGTACAGTTTTATTATTATTTTAATAAATAAATATAATTCAAATCATATCGTGTTTGGTACCATTTTAATCAGAAAAATCTCACAAATGCGTTAGTAAAAGTTTCATTAAGAAAAAATTAAAAATAAAAAAGTTTTATCGTTCAATTAGTATTAGTCACGCCGATATTACGGTCGGATCATATTACACGGTTTCCTCGCCGAGCGGCTCGGTTCGGCTTAGGGGGATCCCCCCAAGTGGAGGGGATAGCGATGTTGCATATATCCAGCCAAACTTTTGTTGCATATATCCAGCTTTTACTGTACCTCGTTGTGCCAATGATGATACTAATGTAAAGTTTTTAATAATGGAATATAGTTGTTTATTTGTCTCTTTTACGTAAATAAATACTCATTTTTTGATAGTAAAAAAAAATTTTATAAGATTTCATTACAATTTTCCTGGATGTTCCATATTAGGTGTCATTTTTCCAACTTCTCACGTTTAACATTAGCAGTCACCTTACAGAGTGCTTCCTACATGTTGAATATTTAAACTATTTCCGTTGCTATTAAAAATAAGAGAAAATTATTAATTGCAAGTTTAGTTTATGTGATTTGAGGACATGTACTTAACAATAATAAAAGAGATCTTTTCATGTGTTGTTTCTCATTCATCATTGTTTGTCTAAGAAAACCATTTACAGGTGTAATTTTTAAAATAAAATAATTTTCCTTTGAGTAAACAAATTACATTAGGTAGCATGTTTCTACACAAAATAAATTTTGTGAAATAAATTTTGTTAAAAATAAATAGTAATTGCGTGAACAGATAAAACTCGAACAGCCCGTATGAAGATAAAACTTTGAAGAAGTAAAATGTACAAAATGAAGTAGCTTGTTTGAGAAATAAGGTTGTTGCAGTGGTCTTCATCTCGAGAATATGTCGTCGTCTAATGAAGAGCATGCCTTGGGAATCTCGAGTAATTACAAACAACAACGACGAAGATGACGGTACTTCACGTTAAAAGAGCTGCCTCGTAAATTATAGTAAGCATTTTTAGTGATTTTTATCCTGATTAAATAAATAGTATTAAAATAATAATGTTGTAAAATTTGCTACTACTTTGCTTTAAAATCTTTTTAAAAATTTGTGGAAAAAAACAAAGTGTAATATACTACTAAAAAACCCTGAACAAATTGATTTGATCGTCACCAAGCATATTAGTTTAATTCAAGAGTAACTAGTTAACAAGTGTGGGGCTGGCCATTAGGAGTTTGGACAATTTTCTGTGCGCCAGTAGGAATTTGGAACCTAATTAATTAAAATCACAACCCGTCACGTCACAAATCTCCCAGTAAAAATTTAAGTTGCAATCCGCCTCTGCTAATTAGTGATTCATTCTAATTTCCAAGTTAACTTATCAGAATAATTCAGAAGAAAGAAACCATATAATAAATAAGAAGGTTAAAAAAAAGGAGATGGACTTCAAGAAAAGAAGACAGGTATATTTTATTAATTAATAACCACATCAGAAGCATACAAGGAGACAAAATCCCGTAAACATGGCATAAATTATGAGGTCTCGTTTTTCCAATAAATGAATATAATTCATTAAAATGGATGTAAGGATACATGGTATGTGATTTAACTTTATTATCTGTGAAAATATAAAAAAATGCTTGAAAGGAAATTCTTGTATTTCAAGAGATAAAAATCATCTCAAGGTGATATCTTCTGAAACTTTATAGCGACCTTGGTTTCTTTTTCAATTAGAACTGTATATTATAGGGAAAAAAGGATGCATCGTTAAAAAAATTTTAACAGTTCGGGAAATATTTTTAATTTTTTATGATAATTTACAGCTGAAAACTATTCAATGTATATAAAAAATTTTGTTTAATTTTGTTTTAATTTCCTATTATAATTGAAAAAGAAAGACAAACCTTACGTTCCTGTCAGCAATTCCAGGTTATTGATGTATCATGTCTCTTCGTAGACTGAACGATATAAATCAAGAGGAAACGAGAGGAAGTTAAGGTAGCACCGTGCCGTATCCTAAGATTGATCGCCGCCTTTTGGGATTGTATGGTTCTTTCTTTAAATTTTCCGCGTTTACGATGCGTCGAGTCATTTTCTCAGGGTGGAAACGACCTCGGAAACTCAAGTTCCGTAAATTGCAACCTCTCGAAAAATTTCTACTATTCTTCTCGAGAAATTACAGTACACTTCCTGCCACTCCATCGCATACACACATTTTCAATTCTAAACGTTTTCTTTTCACTAACAATAAGATATTAAAATTACAGTAACTTTAACAAATAAAAACTCCGTACTATTACATTGTGTGAAATGTTCTGCTGTGAACAATTTGTTCTAATTTAAATTTTGACTTTCTCTTTGTACGTTTTATTTTATGAAATATTGTACTTTCTTTGTAAAATAGAAATGAAATTACAATGATTTGAACCAAAGCACAATGATGAAAGAAGTTCAAAAACATGTTAATAATTCTACAGAAGAACATTTAGTGAATATTCTATTTTTTTTCATTTAAAAAAATGATATGATGAATACTTACAAATATGTATAACAATTTCTCTCTTGAACCCTTTTTACATTCCTTTTAAAAAGTACCCAATCTTGTCAACTTTTAATTTTTTGCTCAAACCTCTTTACTATCATCATGATTCCTATTTCTGTCACAATTCACTTTTAAAGGAAAATATTATCATTAAAATGTACTTTACTGAAAGGCCAAATACTTAGTTTTTAAATTCATTTTTTAACAATTCACCAGAATTGGTTTATAGTAATTAAACATATTTTATAAGAATAAATACTACGTAAAAGCACGAATGTAGAAACAGTATTTTTAGATTATCATAGTGATGTTGTTAAGGTTGTAAATTAATACTATAATTAGGTTAAGGTTTAAGTTTATTCATTACTTTCGTTTAATTTAAGGATCCCGCTTGACAAATTAACTCGTCCGTTAATGACGTAACAAAACCCTCAATCCTGGCGCCACGCGTGATCGCGGTGCCCGTTGGTGATCGATAGATCACTTTTGTTCAAAATATCGAACGCAATACACGTGTCTCGCTTACGTCTAACAACGCGCCTATCGCTTACTTTAACGCATAACGACAATATTCGCTTCGCCTTCAACGTGTCATCAATTCGCCATCAACGCGGGGAATTTACACGCCCATCGAAACTTCCACCGCGGAAGCGGAGTTAATAAAGTGATTTGTGTTATTATTGAGTGACTAATCTCGATTCTTTATTAAACCATCCGTTTTCCACAACCTTCCTGCATATCCTTGTCAGGATAGTTTCGGCGAAATTTAAAACAGCGTTACGCTAAGAAACAGATGTAAAAAAACAAAGTGTAACGTCCTGCTAAGCGCATTTACCTGTTTTTTTATTACAATAATTAATTTTCGTTAATTTTATTTTTGTATTTAAAACATTGTAATTTTCTTTATAATAAATATACTATTCATTGTATGTCGATAATTTTTGATGAGTCGATAATTTTGTTTAGTTGGTGAGTCGGTCGGTAACTTAGTATCGATAATTAATCGACGTACAACCACGTATACGCTCGCGTGAATAATCGCGAAGTATGGATGATTTCGGGGTAGGGTGGAATCGTAGAGTAGGGAGATCGCGCTAGACTAGGGACTAGGGATGCTCGGGAGTCACGTACCTAGAGTCCAAAGTCCACGAGATTCCTGAAGGAAAAATCTATATAGAAAAAAAAGCGCTTTGTCAGCAGAATTTAGGTATAAATAGAGACGTTCCACCCGGAGCGAGATCAGATCGTCTCCGACTTCGGTCGAGTGCAGCTATCGTTCTAACTAGAAAAAGCTGAGATTGCTCTGTGCTGATTTACTTCGGTAAAGATATAGCAAGGGAGTAGCCGAAGCAAATTAAATTCTTTCCTTACAGTGACAAGTGCAGGCTCCCTGCGGATCTACAGACACTCTACTCGTGGTTCGCGACGTGTTCACTACATGTCAGGATAGAGTTCGCTATCAAGTGTAATGAGCTAGCGAGGGACTGAGCTCCTTAAATGCGGCCTGTCTGGACATACATAGATCTGGCTTGCCCAGAAACCGATTTGCGGCCTGTAGAGAGGTTTGTTCGTGTCCGAGGGAACGGTACAAGTTACTGTCTTTGATAATTTCTGATACCTAGAGCAGAGTTCGGCAAGATTTGCACTTTTCAGCCGATTTTCAGCTGGCTCCGCCTACCGCTATCTCCCTTGCTGCGACGTTCAGCGCGCAGCCTACGAACCGTTTGAGGCTCAGAAGCGTATCACTCGTAAACGTATACTGGCAACCACTTTAAAAAAAACGCATCGACAATAGGACCTCGCGGGTGGGGTGGAAAGCTATTGCTGAGTGGAAGTTTCTCACTAGATCGTCCCGTTCAACACAGAGTTCGAAGTATTAAAAAGAATTAAATCGTTAAAATTTCCAACTACGCACAAGACAGAGACGGCCCACGAGACTGTTGTCTTGGAGGTATCTCCCTGGGACCGTCTCTCTTTCCACCGTTTAATAATTATTATAAAGTACAACACCGTAGTTCGAATCATAATCTCAGATACTATCAATCAAACTGCCTTTTTGTCAGTTTTCTGCTATAAAGGTGCCTTACATTTACTCTTTAATATATTCATCTTCCTTTGTCTTTATGTATATATATTCTAATTTCTTTTCTATGTATTTTATACAGCACGGACCTTTTGTTAACTAGACCGCTTTCATTGTAATAATTATTTTCCTCGAGATTATACATTTGTTACTTATATTCAGTTTCCAATTAATTTGCGTTCAAACACCTTCCTTTCCTGTATTATCACGCCTACCATCTACGCACAAATTCACACAAGGGGCCCGTATGGGACTAGGGCATTGACGAACTCAGCAGTAAATCTATAACCAAATTTTACTGATTTTTAATTGTTCTAATCGTAAGTGATTCAAGATCGTCATAAGCGATTAGGATTGGTGGCAGCGCTTTTTCTACCGCGTACTAAGATTCCAATAAATATATTCTATCAATTCTCTCATATATTTTTGTACGTCGCGCGTCGTATCTCGCTCGCGACGTAACATTATGAGCACTTTTTGTTATTTCATGCAGCAATTAGAATTTTATTGCATAGTAAATTATATTTGAACGCAGAATGGCTAAATACAGCTCGACAAATGCTGTTTATATTTGTTAATAAATGCTCCACACTGTATGGTAGAGAATTCTGTATATTTAATATTCATTACTTAGTACATATTACAGATGATGTGGAAAATTTAAAATATTCGTTGGAAGAATTAAGTTGCTTTCCCTTTGAAAATTAATTAGGAATATTTTTAAGCCTGTTACGTAGGTGGAATAAACCTCTGGCCCAAATTATAAATAGGTTATCAAAAAATGAAACACCTACAATCAAAAAAAATATTATCGACATAATCGTTAAAACACAAAATAATAAAAAATCAATACAATTTTCTCATTTTAAATTGAAAGCTCATGGACTTCGTGACTGTTATGTCTTTTTAAAGAACGGCCATGTTTTACAAATTACAGACATATTAGAAAATACAATATTTGGCAGATTATCATCGGAATTAAAAACTTTTTATAAATATCCCATTATATCTAAAGATATAGGAATATTTAAATCTAATAATTTTTTGAACGAAATTGTTTCATATGCACTAGGTGAAATTGTGTATAAAGCATTTGTAGTTAGGTACCACTCACATTTTGTAGCATACGAACTACTTCATTTGTGTAATTAGATAAATATGACTTGTAAATATGTGATTAATTCATTCTTTAACGTTAAAATATTTAAAAAGTTATTGTCAACGGATTGTACTACATAATTTTTAGAATGTCATCTAAAAAGATGCGTCTGATAAAAAAGCAACTTGTACTTCAGTCGCCTAACCCAGATTCTGATAGTGAAAGCTGACAAATTCAACAACCGCATATAGAAGTACCAAGTAAGTATTAAAATAGATAAACTTTATTATAAACATCAAAAAAATTCATAATAATAAATAATACATAATAAATACATATATAAATAGAATAATAAATGTAGAAATAGTAATAATAATAATTTTGGCAATGTATAGGCACGAATATTATTGGATCTTCGAGTGAGGGACAATTGGCTGCGCTGAATAGACAATACATTGAAATTAAATATGAAATTAAGCAAATATTTGGGGGTCACGTGACGATAGCTATAGAGACAGTACATGTCGGAGAGAAGTGAAACAAAATCAATCAATTCCGAAGGAAATTCTTAACGGATAGGGGTGCAAAAAATACCGCTGGAAAGAGAAAAAACCAAAGAACACAGGTGAATAAAAGCATCAAAAAGGTACACAGAAACAAGTTACTTAAAAGAAATGAAACTGGCGAAAGAGGTAAAATGTTAGATTGACTAATGAGCTACGTGGAAAAAGTCGATATTGTAGACTAATAAACGACGTGGAATAATACGTCGATAACGGTAGATCGATTGGATGATAAACTAATAAAATAAAAAAAAAACGAAGGTAGCGAAGCATAGGCATAGAAGCGAACACAGAGAGAGAAAAACATAGATGAGTAAGACAGGAGAGACGGAGAGCCCAAAGGATTCCGGAAAAAGAGGAAGGCCGACTTTAGCTGAACAGCCTGGGAAGTATAGGTCGGGCAGCCAAGGATCACTGCTGGACTCTTTTAAAAGAAAAAGAGAAGAAGAAGAAGCAGAAGAAGAAAGAAGAAGAGTGGAGAAAGAACTGATAGAAAAATTCCAAAAAGCATGAAGAGTAGGAAGATCACCACTCTTCCGAATATCTTTTAAATATTTCTTTTATATTACATGAATATTTAGGTTATATTTTCTAAATATGTATCTTAAATTTCAATCACATATAGGAAAGGTAAATTCTAAGAGAGCATATTTAAAAACACAAAATTATGCTGCAACGTCTTGTCCGAATAGATCAATAGATAGTAACGCCAGTTGCTCGATCCGTCACAGTTTTTAAAATTCAACAATTTCAACAATTTCCCGCTTCCCGCTATGGTGGTAGACCTGTTCCCTCACTACGCCATTACGCTTTTCTGTGTGATCCGGGACAGTCGTGAGTGAAATCAGTAAGAGGATTTTGGTGGTAAGTTGCTATTTACGTACGGTAATGAGTGTAACACCCCGGGGAAGTTCACGGAGGCGATGAAGCGAGTCAGAAGACCCTTTTTTAAGGAAGTTGCGATACCTGGAAGAAGAATACAGGCGGTCGCGTTCTCGACACCGGCGCACGAGATCTCGGCGAAGGAGCTCGGACTCTAGTCATAACAGACGATCTAGTGCAGATGACTCTGATAAAGAGAATGGCGAGCGTATCGCAGGTATATACAGACGAACGTCACATTCTAATCAGAGTCATTTAACCTCATCCAAAAGGGACCGTTCATCAAGTTTGTTTGATGAAGTGAGTGGCGAGTGCCATCGGCGAGCTGCGTCACGCTTGAGTCGGAGACGTGCCCCTACATTCGCGGCATCTCGCAGAGATGTGGATATTGAGGCGATTCGAAGAGCCGCAGGTTGGACGGAAAAATCGATAGCTACTGCGTTCGAAACAAAATAAAAATGAATTTAATTCACCAAAGTTTTGCACTTCGAATTTAAACGCAAGATAAATGTTTAGTTTTATCATTTCATGGTTCGTTAATACACCGTAGTTACCCAGTTAATGCACCAGTTAATTATTACGCAAAGAAGTGCATCAAACATTCGAATCTCGTGAAATATATCGTTATATTGATTATGGTTACAATTTGCAAAAGACAATATAAATAAATTTTATTCGCAGAAGTTTTGCATTTAGAATATAGATGCAAAGATTATTGATCGAGGAACGAATAATCGAATTACTCGCTGCACCTGGTGTGTTAACGAACTGTAAAATGATAAAATTAAACATTTATCTTGCATTTATATTCGAAGTGCAAAACTTTGGTGAATTAAATTCATTTTTATTTTCTTTTGAACGTAGTAGCTATTTTGTGTTTTTAAATATGCTCTCTTATTGTTAGAATTTATCTTCCCAATATGCTGGCATTGTGATTAAAATTTAAGAATTGTTTTATAACATCAAATTCGAGCGATACGCGAAACAGATGCGCCAAGGTCACTGGAGAGGGGTACCGCGCGACTCAATGTTTAATGCATTAACGTATAGGAAAACTTTGAGGGCTTTTTTCTAGGGGATGGGTTGATTTTCGGCACATGGTTCCTTTCAGACTTTTTATCCCCTCGACGAGCACTATACGATAAGCCAATAAAAAAAATTGTCAAGGTCAATTTTGCGGTCGCTTTCTTTGACAGATCTCCACCGATCCAGAGGTGTAGAATCACCCCACGTGATCCGTGACATTTCGTTTTTTTACACCCTGTACATTCTATGTATATTTAATTTATATTTACTTAACATTTATTTTATATTTCTTGTATTGTGACCCGTTACGTGGGGGTGCACTCTACAATTTCTTTGGTTTCGCTGGGCGCTAGCCACGTTTCGTGGCAAGGAGGAATAGGGACGAAACTAGGGTCTTCACAAGGGGAGGGACTCGCGGCTCGACCGGGGTCGGCCATCACACAGACTCCGCGAGGGAGTACGCAAGGAGGATCGTTTTGGGAAGGGAGGTCTCACGGTCGGGAAGGATTCACAGGAGGTTCTTTACGTTACGCGTCGAGGAAGGAACGCAGAAGGGAACTTTAGGGGGGAGGAGAAGGGTTATCGTGAAGACGCAGGGTACCGGACGCGAGCGGAACGATCGCGGACGCGAAATTACCGTTACTTGGCTCAGTATTACAAAAAGGGATAATATAAGGAACACGCTGAACTCGCCTCACACACACAATACGCTCCCTAACTCGTCTTCTAAATAAACTCGCACAATCGCTTTTCTAAAGAGCTTTGAAATCGCTTTTTGATCGCTTATTACACGCCGTAACGCAAAAGTGTCGGGTTGTCGTCGTAGCACCGGCACCAGCCCGTCGTATGGAGTTTTGGGGAGGGGATGGGTTTAGATTGGGACATCTTCCGGGTCTAGGATTGATCTATTATCGATCGGTCGGTAATCGGGATCGATGGGGCTGACGGAGATTCGACGGTGGTGGCTGTGGGCTGTGATCTTCGGGCTCGGCAACAGATGGCTCCAGCAGGGCTCTTTTTCCGCCGTCGTGCGTCGTCTGGGCTGCGTGGACGATTGGTTTTGGGTCCATCGTTGCTCCCTTTAATCATGGACTAAAATCATGGACTCAGGATCGTACGCTTTACCCTTTATGATGCGTCTATTTACACGCCAATTTAGGCTCCGTGATTGCGTAAAAAAGTATCGGGGCATATAAACCGCATTGAAAAATACACCATTTGTACCATAAAACGCGCTTAACTCTTTTCTGGACACCCATATACTTAAAACGAAGGTCACCTTAATTGCAGCCATTTCCAGGTAGTACTGGTACGCTATAATATAATTAACCCTTTTCAGGGCGACCATATACTTAAAACGAGGAAAATCTTAGTTACAACTATTCACAGGTACCAGCTACAATTTAATTAAAAGTAATACGTACGTGAAAAGGTAAAGACGGAAATAGTTATAGAAGTCTATGTTCTTTACAGCGTTGAATAGAATGATATTGCAGTTATACCTGTGATACCTTCTTTGACTATTAAAAGGACAACTAATGGCATCTAACACAGTGCCATTGTTCAAGACATGATATAAATCTGTGATTTAGGGCTCCCACATACTTAAAACGAGAAAGACTGTGAAAACACGGACGTTAAAAGTTAAGACCAGAAAACTTAATTAAAAAATTTAAATTGTTAATATATTATTTAAATAAATGACTGTTAACTAACACACAGTTTAGGGAAAGAAGAGCTCATACTTTTCTGAGAGCTGTTTCTGGTACGAGAAACGTGGCGGGTCGGCGCTACGTATTCCCCTGTAGGTCGGTTAGGTTGAGCGCCTCTAACGTTCAGGCCGGCTTTGCCATATGAAAGGGCGTTGCATTGGTTTTATTTTTTTTTAACTATGATGTACCAATCCGACACTTTTGAAATTTTTACAGATAATAGTTAAATAGTAAAGGATTATTCTTAATTTTTTCGGTGGGTGTCATCCAAGGGATTGTTTATAAAAATCATTTTCAAAGATTTATTTATTAATTTTCAACCCTTAATCATCGAATAAAAATTTTGAAAAAAAAATATGATATACAGTTAATGAATACCTACTATTTGCACTTTAATGTGATCAAATATCTTAAATAGTTTCCGAGAAAAAAAATGGTAAAGGTTTTGGGTTTTACCCTCATATCTCCCTTATCAGAGGGGGTAGGGGGTTGAAATTGCACACAATTGTTGTTTAGGCAAAAAGCATTATGTGATATAAATATCAACCGAAATTGTTACTGGGACCGATTCACTATGCTTATACGGCTAGACCCTTTCGAGCGCGATCGATGGCCGAAGGGCCCGTCGCGCGAACATCGTCCTTGGAGGGGACGGTTTGGCGAATCGTAGCCCGTTTTCGGAAGTGTCGCGTGCCCGGTGATTGGCTAGGACGCGCGAGCTAGACGAAGATCTTTCATCCCCTTTCTTTGGTGTTCCTTCCTTTTCTCATTCGTCGCCATGATAGTTTCAACGGTTTTCAGAAACTACGCAGTATTTCTCTTTATACATATAATTAATTAACGGGATTTAATCGAGATATAACTATTAGTTTAGTTGGAATGCGAATTGAGATTTGAAATTGAAATATAGAGGTTTGATAGGAAACCGTCATCCGTATATCATGATCAAAATTATTCATTCCCGATGTGCAAAAAGACAGTATGATTTAATATGTTTAAAAGCGGATGATGCGCTTACGGTGGTTGCAACGCCGTGGCGAATTATGCAATCTATCGCACATTAAAATTATTGCCTCGATGTATTCGGCATTTCGCATTTTATGAATTTTAAACAATTCTAAATCTGGCGAACGTTCCTTCGAGAACGTTCCTTTGTTCAAAATTTGCCGTTATCGCTAGGCAGTTGTTAGAATTTCGATACAATAGTGTTTATTGCTTCGAACGACCCTTGATTTTCGAACGGCGGTCGAACGTTCGCGACGTTCGCTTTCGTAAGGGTTCTCAATTCTTACTTTCATTGTTTAAATTTGTTTCATCCATCCACTCTCTCATACTATTGTTACAATCAGGTAAGGATGATCCTTGTTGGACCGGCTGACGCTCTGTGCAACAGTGTGAGAAAGAGTTTTCTAACAAAAGAGTTATTACGATTTTCCCGTTTCTACGCAGTTAACGAGGGAAATTCCCGAAATGCGAAGCACTGGCTAACTGCGTAGCGCTGGTGTTATTGCTACGGCTCTCTCTCTCTCTCTCAAGCTAACCCGAGTTTTTGTGCATATTACTATCTTATTACAATGGCTGGCGACGATAGTTTCAAGGAGGGTCACGTAAACTATTGAAAAGTAGAAAATAGAAACGGCCTTTCCTCGTGTACCTCGCATGAGAAATTCTCGTAACCCTCGAAAGAGCTTGACAAGATACACGATTCCAGGGTAGAGCAGGTAAAGAAGAGAAAGCGATAGAGGAAGTCAAAAATAGAAAAGAATTAAACTCAAACTCTTCCCTGTACATCCCTGCATGAGAAATTCTCGTAACCTCGAAAGGCTTGACAAGAATGTACAAGGTCGAGGAGAAATGGAAAGATTGGCGGAAAACCGAAACACCCGCCTGTACGCCCCTCACATGAGAAATTCTCGTAACCCAAAAAGGGCTTGATAAGGGACGCAAGGCGGATAAATTTCAAATTTTCCGCCGGGACGTAACACTACTATGCATATTCATGGTAATTCTAATGGTATTCATTTAAATTTTACATTACAAGAGGGTTAAGAACTATGTGCGCACAACTACGTTATTACGTGTAGAGGAAACACGCAAATGAAATGTATCACATATCAATAAAGGGGTCACTGTGATAAAGAAACCATACAGAATGCGCCAAGCACAGGTACGAATAAAATATTCAACGTGTTCAGAGCTAGCGTGATGAATAAATTTTTCATTTGAATAGCAAACTAAATCCTCCGACATTTCATACATGTAAAGCGTAATGTGTCTAACCTAAATATGACTGTTGATTTATAAATACGTTATTGACCCACCACAGTTTTGTAAGAATTAAATATACGCAGATTGCTTTTATTCCTAAATAATTAAAATTTCACTCATTATAGCAGAAAAGTATATGTACCTGGACTAGCCTTAAATCTAATAATATGAACATTTATAGTATAATAATAATACATTCAATGTGTCACAAAAGCATTCATAACCTTAATGATTGCTCAATAGTCATGCATGAACATTAGATAGCATTAGATAACATTATGAACAAAATGCAGTATTTAAATATATTACGTAATCATTTGCAGTGATGGATCCAAAGAGGTGCCAGGGACAATGCCCATCTCTCAGAATAATAAAATATGTAAAAATATTATGTCACATTCTGAAGAATTTTTAGGTATATGTATACTTAAAGAAATAATGAAATATAAATTACAAGCAAATTTTAAATCTTGCAAAAAAAAGTGTACCTTTTTATGTATTCATATACTTTTACAATCAAAGATATAAGTATCTATACATTTTTGTACACCCCCCCCCCCCCCCCCCCCCCCCGGCTTGTGAATTCGCCACTGATCATTTGGTTATTTTGTACTGCTACATAAAATTTTCGATAAATACTCAAAAGAATCTATTCCCTATTTTGATAGATGTATGAACAGATCTCTGATTCGTGCGCAACTGGGAATCTACATATTTAAAAAAATAGAAGTGGAAATTTACAGAGTAAGTAAATGGAACAACAAACGGGCTTTCCACAGTTCCTACCATATTATCCTACCTCATTCCATAACTCTAAATTCCTACCAACTCATTACCAGGTGAGATGCAAATTGCGATAACCTGACGCACGGTTGTAACACATCGTGGATCCATATGTAGATTTGCTGTCGGTATTCATCAGAGTAAACTAACTAGTAGAGAGGGATGAAGAGGGTGCGCACAACACAAACGATATTACAGGATTTAGTATGCAAAGCGAGACATCGAAAAGCTACCCCACCCCTTTAGCCTAAATCTTTGCTATCCCTAAATCATATCATGATTATGGTATACAGAATACAGAAGGTCATAATAATTCTTCTAGGATTATATCGATTCATTATAGTGAGTAATCAGTAGACTGCGAATATTTATGCAGCTTAGATGTATCCAACTATGCAAGAAATATTCAGATAGCACTTTAAGTTATGTAGGATATATTAACGGAATATCAGTACAATTTTTGTAATTTTGTTTGTAACCATTGAATTATTACTAAAGTTGGTATAGAAAGTATATCGTATGAAAGCAAAAATGTCTCAAGGTACTGAAAAACCCTGTTTTAACCAAGGGTATAGAAGGATCATCAGATGTGTCTGGTGTTTGTTAAAAGTTAAAAGATTGTACACTGTAAGGCAGTGGAATAAACAGTCTTAGGGAAAAACGAATCCCGGTTGGCTTTTTGAGTGTCCAGCTTACAAGGAAAACTCACGGTAGTGCAATTCGCTTTTGGAATGATACTAGGTGGAAGTTGTAGTATACATATCCCAACAAAAACATCCTGTAAACAGGAGCCAAGTTCTTATGGCCGTAAAAAGTTGTGAGATCAAACTAAATACGGCCAAGTTCGTTAGCTTAGAAATACCTCTTGCAATACTGAAAAAAGCTTTTGTGAAAATTAGGTTAAAAGAACGCTATTTAATTCTTGAAGAGTTACATGGAGGGATAAATTATTCAAACTTGGCCGTTACTTTTTAAACCAATGGCCATAAAAAGTGTTAGGTAACGGCCAAGTTTGAATAATTTATCCCTCCATGTAATTCTTCAAAAATTATATAGCGTTCTTTTAACCTAATTTTCACAAAAGCTTTTTCAGTATTGTAAGAGGTATTTCTAAGCTAACGCACTTGGCCGTATTTAGTTTGATCTCACAACTTTTTACAGCCATAGGAACTTGGCTCCTGTTTACAGAATGTTTTTGTTGGGATTTCATCAATTTTTGTTGAGATTTCATCAATTATCAAGTATGCTAATTATAATTATTTTTGCAACATAATGTGAAAAGATGGGGTAAACTTTACCTAGATTATTTAGATTTTACTCTTGGAATTTTTTTTTTTTATTTAACTATTTTATCATCCCATTTTGAGCATAAGACCTGGAAATTGAATCTCCAATTTTCCCTTGAACTTTTTATGTTATGTATGTTATGCTACTATGTTCCATCCTACATACCTATTTTGTAATGTTTTTTTCAGTACAACCCCTTTAAGGTGTAAAATTTCAATCTTTGATAATTATTCCTTTGATTGTTTGTTATGGTGGACCTATGTACCAAATTTCAAGCTTTTAGGTGAATGGGAAGTACCCAAAAGGTTTTGATGATAGGTCAGTCAGTCAGTTAGTGACAAACGCGATTTTTGAGATCCTATATCTCGGAACCTACTAATGTTGGAAGATTAAAGTTTTGTCAATATTGAGACATTTAACAAGTGTACGAAATTACACCTCTCCATCTGCCTCCAGTGCCGAGCTATAAGCCCCTTAAAAACGGCTAAGTTGTTTCATGTAAAAGGAGGTAGTGCGAGAACTTGGCTGGTGCACTACCGTGCACCTAAATAGGGTTACAATACCCTAATGGGTTTTTTCAAAATGGGCCTT